CTAGGCATGGCTTCGGAATTTCAGCCTTGGGTCAACACGTTCAGATCTCACATTCTAGGATTTCACGCAGTCTGAGTAGATGTACAGCTCAGGTGATTTCCGTACGTTGAGGTTGTGCGTTGAAAAGGTAGGGACGGTGCGAGGGTTCATGGACCACTGGTAAGACCGGTGGCGAAGACTTCGAGGCCTCCAACCCTTTGTCGGGCACAAATCGAGAAAGTGTACAATTCGATTATCCTGGAACCTGGACTCACGAGGACTCCAATCCGTTCTTTGGATTCTATAGGTTATGAGTTCCCAAGACGCTCCCTCGCAGAACTCTGGGAGCATGGAAGGGGCTCAGGCAAGTGAGAGACTTGCAGAGAGCTCTGGGAATGCAGGGCTGCTGAGTGGCTATGGGGCTGTTCAGGCAGCAGTGACGTCTACTTCGGGGAGTTTCTCTGGAAGGGCTGTGGAAGGTTCATTTCAGGAGGGTCAGACCGAAGTTCCGGATGTCTTTGTGGAACAGACTGTGGAAGGGCCTGTAGCAGGTCAGACGGACATGCCTCAGGCCACCAGTGGCATGAGTACAGAGGCCCCTCTGAGCGGTGCAGCTGCGGATTCGGGAAGTTCTTCTGGAAGGGATGTTTTTTATTCAGCTGGAAGGACGACGCCGCAGGACACTGCTCAGGTTGCTCAGATGATTCAGGTCCGAGGACAACCACAGCTGTTTGGACCGGAAGCCAACTTCCGGCTGGCGCAACTGGAGAGGGAAGCCCCTCACTTGTATGGAGGCGGGGGTGCTATGACGTCAGGAGCAGCCAGGTCGGACTCTTCTGGGTTCAGCGCTGGGGAGATTCAGGCAGAGTTTCATCGGCAGCTTGAGCTTGTTCGGAGGGAGCATGCACTTCAGATGAGAGCGTTGGCAGCTGAGAATGAAGCCTTGAGGAATAGGTCTCTACTGTTTGAGGGCCGAAGGCCTGTACAGGTAGAAGCCTCTAGTGCAGGTTGGGGAAATCAGGCCGCGAAAGTGATGGAGTGGTTTGGTTTAGGGCAGGGTGCGTTCGCGTCGTTCGTGCCGAGAAACCCTAACCCCGTAAGTCCTGGCACGAATCCTCTTGGACCGCATGCCTCAGGAGATACTCAGGCCCCTCTTCAGGGCACGGGTCAATCTATGACCTTGGAAGGCATGCAAGCGGCAGGTGCACAGCCGGGTCAGGTGCCGAGACAAGGTCTGCCAACACATGCGTCAGGTGTGCATCCAGGTCAGGTGCCAATGCAAGGCGCACAGGCCCCATGTGTGCAGTCAGGCGTGCCAATGCAAGGTGCACTACCACAGGCTTCAGGTGTGCAATCAGGCGTGCCGATGCAAGGTGCACTACCACAGGCTTCAGGCGTGCAGTCAGGCTTCCCGATGCAAGGTGCACTACCGCAGGCTTCAGGCGCGCAGTCAGGCCTTCTGATGCAAGGTGTACTACCGCAGGCTTCAAGCTGGCAGTCAGGCTTGCCGATGCAAGGTGCACTTCCGCAGGCTTCAGGTGTGCAGTCAGGTCCACCGATGCAAGGTGCACTTCCGCAGGCTTCAGGTGTGCAGTCAGGTCCACCGATGCAAGGTGCACTTCCGCAGGCTTCAGGTGTGCAGTCAAGTCAGATGCCGCACACAGGTGCACTTCCGCAGGCTTCAGGTGTTCCACCAGGTTCCTCCGCTGAGGCCTCGAGTGCCCAACAACAGTGGCCTTGGCAAGGCTTGATCCAGAGAGCGTGGGATGCCAGTGGGGTCAATCAAGGACTCGGATCGTCAGGTCTCTCTCCAGATGCAGCTGGCATTCTGGCAGGTCTCCAGGCTCTGGTGTCTCAGCAGAACGGAAGTTCGTCTCCGACTGAAGGGAAGGCGGAACAGGTGAAGCACTCTTGGTCGGAGCTTCCGAAGCTCCCAGAGCTAGGACCTGAGTCCTCCCTTGCGTTTTCGGACTGGCTTCACCTAGTCGCGCCACTAGTCGAGGACATGTCAGCCACGAGTGCTCAGTACTGGAGCCTCCTCACACGTGAGGCCGAAGAGGTTTACCGAAGGTACTTGGCTAGTGACCCCATGGGCAGGATTTCACTGAATCCAGTGGAAACCCCGGAGCTTAAGTCCCCTGTTTGGTCCAGACTCGCCAAGCGCTTGGAAGCTCTTCTGATCACGGCAGCTCCGAAGCAGGTGCGCGAGGAGTTGGTCCAGAGCCGACTCAAGTCTCCACTTCACCTTCTCTACCGTCTTCATGTGTTGTACGCCCCGGGAGGGGTACAAGAGAGGGAGCACGCCCTGCGCAGCCTCCAGCACACGAGCTCCGCTACCACTCCCCAGGCCGCTCTGGATGCGCTCCCCCAGTGGAGACGGTGGCTCTCTAGGACCGAGACCCTTGGAGGTTCGTTGCCCGATCCGGTGATCCTTGTCAAGGCACTGCTGAACATAGTTAAGACTGTGCTTGAGGGCAATGCTGAGGTGCAGTTTAGGACGGGACTTGTGAAGGCAGCTCTGAGAGCTGAGACGGCCCCTACAGTCGCGGTGGTTCACCAGCTCCATGCGGCCTTGCTCTCTGAAGTAGAAGGCCTAGCTAGGACTCAGACCTTGAGGCCGAAGGCGACTCCCTCTGCAGCAGCAGTGAACGTTCCTGAGGTGCCAACTGCAAACCCAAAGGCCCCATCGGTCCCCCAGGCTCTGGGAAGTCAGAGTCCTCTGGAGGCCGGACAGCAGACACCACAATCGCTGTTCGTCAAGGTGCCTGCAGGTTCTATGTCCAAGGCATTGCACAATTGGCAGGACATTCCCAATAAGGATAAGAAGTCCAGGTGTATGTCGTGTGGTGGCACCGGCCACCAAAAGGCGTCATGCCCGCATGCTTCAGGAGGTCCAGGCCCGCCGAAGGCCCCGAACGCAGCTCCTCCTCGAAGAGCTGACAAACCCGAGAGGCCTAAGGCAGCAGCAGTGGCGGCCCAGGTTGCAACTGCTCAAGATGCCAATTCGAGCCAGGTCCAGGCCCTCCTGGATGATGCGGCAAAGGTTTTGAAGGCCATACAGGCGCCAGGGAGCCAAGTGAGGGATCCACCCGTTGCACCGAGGGTGGAGGCAGCAGCACCAAAGGCGACTCCAGTGCTTCAAGGAACACCTGTGACGGTGGCCACTCTTCAGAGCCACTTGGATGCCATTCGTCAGGCCATCCCAGAGGCCCAGCAGGCTTCTGAGAAGCCCTCGATCAAGGCCATCGCAAGCTTGGCCATGCCCTTGCAGGAGGAAGGTTCGTTGGAGGAGGCAGACCCCGATGAACAGGTGGGTCTGTTGGACAGCGGTGCCACGCATGCTGTTCGTGCACGCGAGGAAAGAGACCAGGATCTCACTGCAACGGAGGTTGTTTTGGCGGGAGGAGCTACCCAGTCCTTGCTCCAAAACCCAGGTGGGACGATCCTAACCAATGGTCCCTCGCAGCCCATAGTGCCCCTCGGGAGCTTAGTACGGCTTTTGGGTTGTAGTGTCACCTGGACCCCTACGCGGTTGGTGGTCAAGCATCCGGTGTTTGGAAGGCTAAGGGTGAAGATTAAGCAGGGGTGCCCAGTCCTCGCCGAGACCCGTGCTCTAGAGTTGATCCAACAACTGGAGGAGCGACGCCTTGAGAAACTTCGCGGGCAAGTGGATGAGACGGAGGCTGTGCTCCGAGCCCTTACTTCCAGGGTGCCGCTGGCTAAGGCGGTAGATAGGGCTAAGGAGGATGGTACGCGAGCAGATGTGATGCAGACGGCCCTTTCGTGCGGTGTCTTTGAGCATCACCACCTCCAGTCCATAGCTACTACAATCCCTAGGGAGGAACGTGAGCTCCGGCACACCTTGAAAGGCCTGTCACTTCCCCGTCGCCGCCGGCGAGCGTTGGAGCAGTCCAAGGATTGGTTTGTGAACCTTCAATTTGGGAAAGAGTCACCGGCAGTCAGTGAGAATGTGCTCTCGGCGTGTTCCGACGCTCAGGTGCTTCACATTGACCTGTCTAAGCCCCATAACAACCTTGAGCCAGGATCTCCCCTCAGAGCCTCCCTTGCCTGGGCAGCCCTTCATGGAAGGATCATCGGCTTGTCAGCCGACCTGGCCTCTCGATCCGAGCTTCTGGTCCAGGTTTCATGGTTGTGGGCAGTGGCCTCCGCCGGTAGGGGTTATACGGTTCCCCTAATGGCCCTCTCGGACTCCGCTAAGCTCTTCAAGGATGAGTGGTGGCCAAAATTCCAACGTTGGGCCCACCTTAAGCAAGCCTCTGCGGTGGGAGGAGCCGTGACTGTGTTCACAAATTGCCGGACCGATTTGGTGGAGACATGTGAGAACCGCCCTGCCCTCCAGGAACAGGTCGTGCAATCTTTCCGGCCACAACGGCCGCAACCGGTCTCGGAGGAGGAGTTGAGAAGGATCGATCAAGAGGTGCGTGAGTCACTGCGCCTAACAAGGCCCTCAGCTGCTGCAGGTGGCCAGGTTTCAGAGTTGCAAGGTGTCGAGCAAGCGGTACCAACCGCGGCGGCGCCAGACGCTGAAGGGTGGCGACGCCACATCGAGAGCGGACACCTTCCGTTCAACAGGAAGTGCAAGGCCTGCGTTATGGGGTCAGGGGTAGGACTGCAGCACCGCAAGGTTGCCCATCCAACCTCGTTCTCCCTTTCACTAGATGTCCTGGGGCCCATCCAGAAGGGAATCTTTGAAGACTCAGTTGCAGCCCAGCCAAGGCACAAATATGCCCTTGTGGGGGCGTACAGGGTGCCTGTGGACGTCCTTCGGAGAAGATGGGATCCTAGGAGAGACCTGCTGGATTTGTTCAGGGACTGACCAGTCCGAAAGGGGACCTGAAGGATCTCTTGTGAGCGTTGAGCTGGAGGCCGAGTCCCAGTCTGGGGAGACCCTCCAACAGGCCATAGAAAACCTTAAGGACCCGGTTCCCCAGGTCGTGCTTCGGTTTGTTAGGCCAAGGACCTCCCGCAAAAGCCCTTCCCTCACGCCGGCCATCCACTCCATGGTTCAGGAGATAAACAAATTAGGCTTCCCAGTGAAGAATGTTCACTCCGACCAGGGCCGGGAATTCTTGAGCGACAGCTTGAGGCTGTGGCTGTCTCAAATGGGAGTGCGCGTCACCATGAGCGAAGCTCATGATAAAAAGGCCAACGGCCTGGCAGAACGCATAGTAGGGTGGAGTAAGCAGAGAGCCCGTTGCCTGCTGAACAGTGCCGAGCTCGAGCCAAGCTTCTGGCCCTACGCTATGGCTCATGCCGCCGCCTCACACCAGGCCTCCCTTATAGGAGACACTCCGCTTCCCCACTTTGGGAAAAAGATAGTGTTCAAAAGGCCGATGCTGCCTGGCAACTTTAAGCCCTGGGACCACTGGTCCGAAGGTCGATACCTCTCCCCGTCCATCCTTGTGCCGGGAGGACACTCAATCCTCAGACCGGATGGCAACACCACGGTTGTGAAGAATTTCAGGGATGATTTGGTTGACCCTGAGGCCTTGGTAAGACAGCGGCATGAGGAGCTAAAGGAGGCAGCGGAGGTAGCCGCGGATGCGTCCCTTTCGGAAGGAGGCCAGGAGGAGTTGTTTCCGGAACTCTTTGGCCCCGATGGCCGGGAGCCCACGGGATCATCAAAGGAGGTGATAGGAGCAGGTGTAGGGGCGATAGATCCTGGACCCGCAGATTCCGAACTTCCTCCACCTAGCCGCCTAAAGGGAAAGGGTCCAAGGTTGAGGCCAAGGCCACGCCTTGCTGCTCTCCGGGAGCAGGAATTAGAAGAAGATGAGGATGAAGAAAGTGAGGAGGAGAGCGAAGAACCGGATGAGGTGACGGATGTAGAGGCCAACACCATATCTGAAGGCCAGATCTCATCCTTGGGATCCTCCTCCTCGTCCGGGCAACAGTTTCCCCGCAACTTGGGATCCATCCAGGATCCGGTGATCATCCGCGCCCTTGTGAGGCTCAGTCTTGAGTCCAGAGCTCAGGGCCTCTATGACTTGGGAGTCCACGAGGTAGGCGATCTGAACTATGTCTTCAGAACAGACCTTGTTGAGGAAGGCTGGACCGATCACGAGGCTACTGTGTTCCTCCATGAATGCGGCCTGATTGCCCCAGCCCAGCGGTCCGAGAACCCAAGAAGCGCCGGGTATGTTGAGGGTCAGGTTGGGTTGATAGGGAGGGAAGATGAGGTTCCTCGTACTATGGGTGCTAAGGCCCGTGCTCGCAGGGAAGCAAGGGAAAGGGCGGAAGCCCTCCGCGTGCAACCACGTGCACAGGCTCAGATGCAGGAGCCACTGCGGGCTCAACGGAGCCTTCCGAGCCCCGTCACAACCCTCGCATCACCCGTCCTATTCTGGACCAGCTTCCGGCGAGATTCTATGATGAAGTGATCGTCAATCAGCCCATCTCCAGAGACCTCCTCTCCCGCGTAGAGGAGGAAGCACATGATGCCGACCTAACGATGGAACCGAATGATGAGGAGTATGCCCAAAATGTGTTCCAGACCACCAGGTCGAGAATGAGTTGCAACCCTAACGGGGTCACTCCGGTTGTAGGGCGTCTGATGCTCCGTAAATTTGCCAGGTTTAGGAAAGATAGCTTTGGGTTAGTGCCTCTTGAGCAAGAGCCCGCCCTGGAAGTTTCTTCTGAAGAGCTCGCGTCAGCTCTGCTGGAGCTCGGACCAGGGATCTCAACACAGGGAGTCGAGCAGATGGCGCGACGGCTTCCTTATGAGAGTCCTCACCCTGCCCTGGCTGGGGATCAGACGTCAGGCGAAGAGGGCCGGGCATTCTACTGTGGTGCCATGTGCAGAGGAGGAATCTCCTCCTTGAGAAGGTCCTGTGCGGAGAACCCGCTTGCCATCAAGTGCCTTACCAGGCTTCTCCGGAGAGCTTTTCCCCACATGTGCTTTTCTTCAGTGGCAGTTCTAGAGGAGGTGATGGCACCCCCACACCGGGACTGCAGAAATGAGGCAACTCCAAACTTGATATTGCCTTTGACCAGGTTTGAAGGTGGTGCAGTGTGGAAGGAAAATGAGTTCGGAAATGTTTTGAGGGATGTCAAGGGCAAGCCCACCGCGGGCAGACTGCTTGATGTTGCAACGGGACCCCAGACCCTCCAGGCCCAGTCGAAGTTCCACCTCACCGAGCCGTGGGCAGGCAGAAGGGTGATCCTGGTTGGGTATACGGTCTCTAGGATAGAGTTCCTTAGTGAGGACCAAAGGAGCAAGCTCCGGGAATTGGGTTTCGTGTTGCCGGGGGATCTCACTGCCGGAGAAGAGGGCGAGCCAGTCCTTAGGGTTAATAGGCCCGAGATTAGGAAGGTTGAGGCCATCCCCCTTGCAAGAGAGCCCGACACATGGAGAGGACACTATGAGTTTACCTTGGTGTCTGCATGAGGAAACCTTCCGCGGGTACTTGCGAGGAAATAGAGAAAGGGAGGACTGGGAGCGTGCCACTCAAGGTGAGTTCTTTCGAGGAGGGTACGTCATTGATGAAGCCACTCAGACAATGTTCAGGGCCAATGAAAGTCATGAGAGATTGGCTGTTGCAGCAGTGACCAGTGGGGTCATTCAGAGTGGGATTCACAATGGAGATATGATTCTCCGAGAGTACCTCGGCGATCCGAGAGATCACGGCCCTTCCGAGCCGGATGAACCGATCCCTGTGGTAGAGCTGCTGGGTCAGGTCAGGGACCTGTATGCCGACTCCCGTAGTCCCCAGGAGTACCACATTGGGTTTAGGCCGGCTAAAAAGGACGACACAAAATGTAGATAGGGAGGGCAACTACTTAGAAAATCAATTCTTCTTTGTGAGATGCCTCACGCGGGCTTCCCAAACTCCCCAGTCCGTTGCGGATGTTGAGATGATGTCCAGAGTTCTCCGAAGGGGGGACCGACGCCACCGGGCGTCGTATGAAGGGGCTGGAGGAGCCTACTACTTCTCGAGCATCCCGCTGTTGCACGGCTCCGAGATCAACCAAGGACGAAGGGCTCCCGCGTCGGGGTCCACCCCGTCTTCCAGCTCCAGAGGCCCTCATCCGTATGTCCGTGCACTGAGCCCTACTACTACTACCGCCTCCTCTTCCCGATCTGAGGGAACAGGTTCTTCAGACGAGACGAGGCCTAGCGGTGCGCCAAGCTCTCCACTCGCCAGCCCTACCATTCCGGTGTATAGGCTAGACCCTGCGGTCTTGATCCCCTCTTCGCTATTGCTTCCGGCCTCTGCTGTTCCACAATCAGAGTACCGCCCTTCCTTTGGACACCAAGGGCATGAGGATCCGGAGGTAAACAAAATAGAGGTTTACACTAAGGATGTAGAGGCTAAGCTTGAAGCACTCGGGGATAGCTCGCTGGAAACCACCTACACTGTTTCTCCAGCCGAAGCCCGGAAGCATGCTGAGCGTTGGAGAGCCGCGCTGCTTGAAGAGCTCAAGTGCCTTGAGGAAAAGGGAGCCATCATCCGGAGAAAGGGAGCCGAGGCCCAGAAGCTCCTTTCGGACCCCGAGGCCGTCACTCTGCACTCCAAGGGAGTGTATACGATTAAGCCCGGCAAATACCGGCCGGATGGGCCGAAGCAGGCTTTCAGAAGAAAGGCGAGGATCGTAGCGCGCGGGAATGAGTCCCGATACACCGACACCGGCGACGTCTATGCTGCAGGCGTGGCAGGCGACGTCCTGCGCGCTGCACTCCTGAAGGGAGCCAGTAGGCGGTGGAAAGCGTTCGGCACTGACGTGCATACCGCCTTCCTGCTAGCGCCGTTAGGTACCACCCGCAGGTACCTGTTGCAGCCACCGGCAATCCTCAAGGCGTTGAATCTCATCTCCGATGGGGAGATATGGGAAATAAACCGCGCCATATATGGCTTGAGGGAGAGTCCGAGGTGGTGGACAGACTACAGAAATGCCGCGCTCACCGGCCTCACCTTCCAGCTGCGCAATGCCGAGACTGGCAACCTTGAGCCTCACCGCTTGGAACAGGGTAGCACTGAAGGGAATGTCTTTAAGATAAGGGGTCCCAATGGTGAGCTGAAAGGGCTTTTGGTGTGCTACGTTGATGACTTCCTCATCCTGTCGAGCGATTCTGTGGCGAAAGCCCTCTACGAGGCAATGTGCACCCAGCTGAACTGGGAGTTGGATCCCCTCCAGGAGGCCACCCGACAGAACCCCCTTAAGTTCTTAGGTGTGGGGATAAGTCCTTTGGAAAATGAGCCCGAGTTCGCGCTTGACCAGAGGTCTTACATAGACGAGCTCCTCGCCAAGAATGGGTTCCAGGGCAGAGGCAGTAACATCCCCTGCCCAAAGGAGTTGCTGTCAGATGATGACTTGGAAGATCCTGAGGACGTAAGTTACCCAACGTCCCTAAGGGAGGCGCAGCGCCTCACCGGCGAGCTCCTGTGGCTAGCTCAGAAGAGTCGTCCTGACGTCTCTTTTGTGGTGCAATACATGGCATCGCACACCATAGGCCGCCCGCGACATGTGTGCGACGTCGCACAAAGAGTGTTCAGATACCTCTCCCTGACAAGGGACAGGCATCTCCGCTTGATGCCAAAGGCCGAAAGGGGGTTGGAAGTTTTCACTGACGCTTCCTTCGCGCCGACCGGAAAACACAGTCAGGGAGGGATCCTGATCAAGTATATGGGATCGACGATCCAATGGAAGGCGTCAAAACTTCCGCTGATTGCGATTTCGTCAGCAGAAGCAGAACTGCAGGCGCTAAGTGAGGGTGCCATCTACGGACAGTCGTTGCAAGCTGTCCTGCGGGACATCACCGATGAGCCCCCTCCCCTCGCGCTGCTGTGCGATTCCACTTCCGCGATAGCCGTGGCCGAGGGCGGGTCCAGTCAGAGGACAAGACACCTTCAGGTGAGAGCCGCTGCGCTCACGCAGCAGCTAGGGTCCTCAATGACTCTGGAACACTGTCCAGGGAATGTGCAGTGTGCTGATTTGCTGACGAAGCCCCTCGCGGGGCCGAGGTTGCATGAACTCTCCCTGCTTGTGGGTTTGAGTGATGAGGTTGAGCCTCCTTCCCTTGGAAAGGTTGAGGTGTTGAGTAGATGTGGAGGAGCCCTGAGCAAATGGCTCACGGCTTTCACGGCCTTCGCACAGGTCATGCCAGGCTCAGGCCAAGGCGAGGAGGAGGAGGATTTTTCAGGGGTGACAAGCGATCTCTCGCTCTATGTAGCCCTGGTTGTCGTGATCATAGCCATAGTAGGCCTTTGGGAAGGGATTAAGGTTGCAAGCAGGTCCTGCCGAGGACCCCCGTCGCCCTCCATCCGGGCTCTGAGGAAGAAAGACCGTCTTGAAAAGGCCGTGCGAGAAGCCCTCGACAAGGAGGTGACTTCGTCTACTCCGTCCTCCTCAGATCAGCCGATCAAGCGAAGGGGGAGACCAACCTCCCAGCCTCCGAGCGCCCAAGGGCAGTCTACCGCGACTTCATCTACTACAACCACGACCCTGCTGCAGGTTTCGAGGTTTTCCCAGACCGAGGTCTTAGATGGAGGTAGGATCACAAGGCGGAGCCAAGGCGTCCAGACGGACCCTGATGCTCAACACCAGGTGTTGATGCCACCCACAGGTGTCAACCCTGGAGCAGTGATGACTACCATGCAAAGAGGCGGAGTCGTCCACCTCTTCAACGATTGCGGGACCCTCGGAACACCGGGGTACAGGCAGGAGCGTACCTTCTGCCGCCAGTGCCTAGCAAGGGCGAACCTTCGCCGCTAGGGTCCTAGGTGGTTTAGGCCTGACACCCCCCTAAGACCCGTGTGCACGTGCCTATTGGCACACGTCCGTCCGTTCGTGGTTTGAGGTTCTTGTTTGGTGAATAAGGCCTGATTTCTCCGAGATGGGGGGGGGCATGGGAATTCTTGTAAAGTGCGAGCCTCCACTGCCGTGAAAGTCGCAAGGAGGAGTGTAGAATTCCACCTCCTGAGCCCCTCCTGAGTTTGTACATGTCTTTCGATTCGGCCCTAGGCATGGCTTCGGAATTTCAGCCTTGGGTCAACACGTTCAGATCTCACATTCTAGGATTTCACGCAGTCTGAGTAGATGTACAGCTCAGGTGATTTCCGTACGTTGAGGTTGTGCGTTGAAAAGGTAGGGACGGTGCGAGGGTTCATGGACCACTGGTAAGACCGGTGGCGAAGACTTCGAGGCCTCCAACCCTTTGTCGGGCACAAATCGAGAAAGTGTACAATTCGATTATCCTGGAACCTGGACTCACGAGGACTCCAATCCGTTCTTTGGATTCTATACGATCCTATACTCCTAACCCTACTGAGCGGGGCCTGAAGAGCGCCTGCACGGAAAAGAAAAAGAAGACGTCCAGAGCCAGCTCCTTCCTTGCGCATAGGGCTTGAGAGTTTGATGGTTCGGAGCTTCGAGGGTTTAGGGTTTATGGTTTAGTGCTCTTTCAAGCCTAGTCTTCTTGCATGTTCAAGACATTTCGGACGCTTCCATGGTTGGGGTGGGGTGGGAGGGATAATGACGTGAGTTCTTACGGCGCGACCATGCCTGCCAGAACGATGTTTGACATAGACGCACTGTTACAGGCAAGCGTGCCCAAACAATACTGGTATATAATCACTCGAGAATGAAACAGCCGAGTGAGACCTTGTCCAACTTGCAATAGCTTCCAGCAGGCGCTACAACCCTGCTTTTTGTTGAAAACCGTGTACAGATCTCGACTTCCTGCACTGTTTAGCATGCCAAGTAGCACGGCACACTGTGCAGCCGCACCCCAATAGCTAGCAACTATGAGGCTGCTTTCCGATTGAGACTATCTATTAAGTTGTCTAAGGACGACAAAGGAAACAGAAGGGAATGGAATGGGGTAGAATTATAACTACTATTACTACCATTCCTCCCTTCCCTACAAACCAAAGGCAAGTAGAAGGACGATGAAGGAAAAAATGCCGAGAAGACCCGAGAACCCACTACTCGGGCCCCCGCTTGTGATAATCCTTCTCGGAAGCGCCTCCCGATCCACCTGCGGAACCCCCCAACCCCCAAACCCGTCATTAAACCCACAAACCCAAAAAACCGAACCCCCAACCCCAAACCCGTCATTAAACCCACAAAACCCCAAAAAACCTTAAAGCTAAGAAACTCTAAACTCTAATCTAAACTCTGAACTGCAGCACCTTGAACCAGGTTTAGAGAGTTTAGGGCATCTAAGGCTTGTGGCTTTCACGTTGCAGGGTTTAGGGATTCTGGAGTCAAGGTGTTACAACAGGGCGATAAGGGTCTAGTTCTCTAGGGCTTTTCGGGCTTAGGACGTCAGTTCAGGGGTGCAAGCTTTTAGGTTTTGGATTACGGAAGCTGTGGGGTTCAGGCTGGTAGGGCTGTTGAGTTTTCGGGTGTGGGCTTTCTTTTTTTTTGGATGTGCTTTCTTGAAGCGTCAGCGGACCTGAAGAACAAGTCCTGCATAGAGTAACGAGTATCATACTGAAGTTCTCTCCTACCACAATAGTCAGAATGAATAATATACGGGCGCTAAGAAGAAGAGTAACAATAAGCATGAGGAGTGGGTTATATTACAGCAGAAAATCATAGTAAAGGACCTTCTCGGCCGGAAGGAATGATAGTAGCTTTCGATAATACTTCGAAAATTATGTCGCCGGAACCGGACCGATTGGTCGGTTCAGGTCACCCCACGCCTCTAGTCTACATAAGCACATCCTAAACCGCAAGTATCCCCTAGACTACGTAATTTATGAAGGCTCCAGCGGGAGATCCTAAGCTTAAACCAAACCAGACCAACCCCAAACTGCAGTTTGTTGCTTTGCATTTCGGATTCAAGATTGGGACTTAAGGGTCTGGACAGCGTTTAAAGGGGGTTTAGCGTTTTGGGCTTGGGGTTGAGGGTTGAAGGCTCAGCGCACATGGAATGCAAGCCTTTCATCGCCGTGCGTCTGCTTGCCGCTCTCGTCTGCACGACCTCATGGAGGAAAGCCCTACTGCCGGAGCTGCCCTGATACAAACGTTATTCACTTGAAGTTCCCCATTGCACTTATGCCCGCCCAAGTCTAATGAATAGGGCCCCAATATTAGTCGACGACTGAAAGTACAGAGGTCATCACTTGCCAGGAAACTGTCACCGGAACCATACAACGGTCCCTTACAACCTTTTGCAAAGGGAACCTTAGAACTCTCCTGCCAGAATACTTTAGCAATCTGCGTAGGTGCTGGCTGCCCCCCCCCCCTGAAACCATCCGGGCTAAGCACCAGTGATTCTCAGCTGCAAGATCCCGAAACCCTGAACCCAAAATCCTGACCTATGAAGCCTTCACCTTTCACGGCAAGCTCTCTGTGAATCCTAGAACCCAACAGCCCCCAACCACGAGGCCCGACTAAATGTTTTTTGTAACGGGCTTGCGTGGTAATCTTGGTATTGCCATAATTGTTACGATTCAACCTGTACAGTACGAGTATAATCATACAGGAACTAGAGGCAGGGCACTGGTACGAATTTTTCAAACCTCTCTCTGATGCGCAGAGGTTCTCTGCGACCTTTTTCTACTTGCGACTTCCAGCAACGGTCTGAGGACCCCGGCACCCTGCGTCGGCCCAAAACTCAAAGACGGCGGCCTGGGGCGGTTGCGAGTTTAGGGTTTTTTTTTAAGCTCCTTTTTGATGTCCGCCAGACAGTCGGCCGACTTCAAGGCCAAGTTTGCGAGTTTAGGGGTTGAGGGTTTAGGGCCTCTGTGAGACCGTATCTGGGCGCTGCATAGGAACCCTAAACCCCGAACCCTTTTAGAGCGCTTCTCCGGCCCCACAGCCAAAAAACCCGCAACCCAAATTCATCAGACAGCGTACCTGAAATCATTCTGTGGAATCGTTGTGAACAACCGTCCAGCCGGTCTGGCCCTCCAAAGCCCACACCACAAAGCCGCAACAGGCTACTGTAAAGCCTGAAACTCTGAGCTCCCTCAAAATCTTGATCTTTAGCATATGCAAGCCTTCAGAGGTGGAATAACAGTTTTGTTCATATTATTCTACCATTATGTGGGAGCAATAACGATACTGCTTCTAGTTACTCCCACCTCGACGTTCAACCCTGTGCCCCTTTCAGAGCCTGGAACAGCCGCGCAGCGATCCCACCGTGCACGCAGGTGGTCGCAAAGAAACGGGAATGGCCGGAAGGTGCGTCAACGTCTGTGGAGCCAACATGGCGCTGGCAGGCTCGAGCTTGCAAAGGGGACTTCATAATTAGATGTGTGTGAAATATACTATAACTATATGCCAGGACAAGAAGCTCTAAGCTCCGAAACCCACAACTTCCCAAGCACTGAACATCCCAAACGCTCTGCCCTGCACCCACAGGGGGAGGCTTCGCCCTGAGCTTCTGGGAAGGGTTTACTTAGAGGATCATGGGACTTAGTAAGTAGGTTATAACTGGGGTTATAAGTCCCCTAAGTGGGGATATCCTAATTATACCCTACTTATAACCTTACTTGCTAAGTCCCATGAGCCTTCAAGTAGGGATTTGGGGTTTAGGGTCTGGAGTGTAAGATTGTCGGGTTCAGGGGGCGGATGAAGGGCTCAGGGGCTGAGCTTGTCAGAAGTTAGAATTTCGGGGCCAGGGTTTTCGGGCGTAGCTGTTGAGAGCTTGTAATTTTGGGTTGGAGGTTTAGAGTTCCGAAACGAAAGACCTAGTGTTCAGCTCCTTAGAGCTTAGAACTTCGGGCTTAGGGAGCTGCTTTAGGGGCTTTACGTGGGCTCAGAATGTAGGGCAAGAAGCAGCAACTTCTGGCCCTTAGCGTATGAGGGAGGATATAACCCCTGGCTACCCTACTTATAACCCAATTTATAACTATGTATGAACCTCCAAATAAGCCCTGAACCCTAAACCCTACATCCTAAACTACAAGGCCCTTCGCCATGCGAATTCTGTTGATGAAACCCTACACCCCTAAACCCTACTTGAAGGCTCATGGGACTTAGTAAGTAAGGTTATAAGTAGGTTATAATTAGGGTAACCCCAGTTAGGGGACTTGTAACCCCAGTTATAACCTACTTACTAAGTCCCATGATCCTCTAAGTAGACCCCAAACCCTAAACCCCCAGGACCAGCCTGGGAGATAGCTTTCTCCAGGAAGTCATGGAAGAGAGCCTTTCGGGTGCGGCCCTATTGGGTTCTCGAAGCCCTATAAACCCTAAAACACTAAGGCCCTAAAGCCCTAAACCCCAAAACCTTGCCCTAAACCCTAGAACCCCAAAGCCCCAAAACCCCAAAGCCCGAAAACCCCAAAACTCTAAACCCTAAACTCCTAAGCCGCTCAACCCCTAAACCCGTGAATTCCTGAACCCTAAACCCCAAAAACTCTAAACCCTAAACTCCCCCGTCAACCTGAAGCCCAGCTTAAGATTTAGGGTTCGGGGCTTCGGGCTTCTTGAGCCGGGGAGGTCTGGAAGGTGTGTGCTGCAAGGCTTCAGGGCCCGGGAGCCTTGTGCCAGGCGTTACGGGCTTCATTCCTGAAACTTCACGTCACCATTGGACCCTGTGCTTCAGGCTAAGAGCATGAAACCCTACCCCTAAACGGCATGCGGGGTGTGGGAAGTGTAATTTGACCCCGAGCGTTTAAGCATCTTAGGCCCAGAGACCAGAGCCCTACGCCCCGACATTTCAAGCCCTCAACACCCACACAAGAGCCTTAAGAGCTAGAAAAGGGCACAGTGTATATTATAGTATGGTTGTGTAGAAACTACGAGGGGGTACCATT